TTAGTGTTTTTTTTTTTTTTTTTTAACTTTTAGATTACTTTAATTTCCACTGGTTAAATTCATCACCCTCAAATTGTCTGAAACTCTGCAGCTTGTGTGTTTACTCTCAGTTGGATCTGGATAATGCTCTTCTTGACCGTGTTCCTGGCTGACTCCCTTTTTCATACAAAGCTCATACCTTATAGTTTCCAGAAATTTCTTGGCACCCAAACCAATCCGATGATGCTTGAATTGCAACGTTTGACAAAACATATGACAAAATTCTAATCTGACTCTAGAATGTTTATCTAAATAAGATTTATTTTTAAAAGCAATAATACTTATTATTTGTATATGTGAGCGACTGGAAGCCCCAGTCATGGGCCAGGACCCCTTTTTGCTCGGCATCCCCCCCCCCCCCCCCCCCCCAGATCTATCTTTATGCAGCAATCTGTGCATTGGGAGGTCACATGGGGGATGCTGTATAAAGTTTGGGTTCAGTGTTGGTCCTTGAACTCTAATTCTGGCCTGATTTTAACTGTCACTATAATCCTGTATCATTTGATCCCATGACACTTGGGTACACAGTAATTTCATGAGTATGTTACTCTATCTCACAGAGTATTAGTTCAAAATATTAACATAAAATAGGACCTCTTATACCTGTAATGCATCTTATATACCTATAAAATATCACATTGCATTTCACTAAGACAGGCTTGTTTTCAGGTGTTTCTGCATTGGGTACATGAGATTAATATAAAAAGAGCCTGATTACATTTTGCTAGACAACTTTCAAATGTCTTGTGGGCTATTGTTTGTAAGTAAAATGGTTTGTCATGGAAGAAATGAGAATGACAAGAATATTCAACCTAAAAATATAATTTAAAGGGGTATCAGCTTAAAAAACACTTCTTAATTCTTTGTATCCAGTATTGTTCCATGTAACACCTACAATGACTATAATTGAAAGAGATTGAGAGAACAGCATCTGTCCAATTTCTTTAGCATATATTTTACTAACTTTGTATATAGTCAATTTCACAATATCTGCTCCCCTTTCCTCTTTTCATAGTACCTTCCCTTCCTCATTACAGCAAGTTTGTGTGGGGGTTTTCAGCAGCAACACAGGGGAGAAAACCATGTTTAAAATAGGAAAAGTGACTGTAAAATCGCAAATTTTCAGAAGGTTTATTACCTGAAACTGCTTTGAATGCTTTTTTTTAATAACGGATTAGATTTCATGTTGATTATGTTCCTTTTAAAAGTCATATGCTTTCCAAAATACATGTATATTGTGCATAGTATAATCTGGAACCCAAATTTATGTTTTTTTCCTGGGCAGCTCCTAGTTATAATACTCCCATATCTTTCCCTACTACTTTCAACAGGTATATGTGAATCTCTTTGCCAACATGTCTGTATGTTGTCTTGCAGCAGCATGTGGTAAAATTCTTCTTGCAGTGGAAAGAATTCCCAGATGGCTGCTATCAGAAATGGAATGCCCCAAACTCTGCAAAGCACCAAAACTTCCAGCCAAAAACCAGGCCCCTCCTAACTCTATTTTTTTCTTTTAATGTCTTTTACATCTTGTGGTACAAATGCTCTTGAAACTCATTGGGTTTCTTTTACCAGGACTAAACAAAGCTCCCCCCCCCCCCCCCATGTAAATAGCTTAAAATATAAATGACTTCTATTACGTCTCTTTACAGTCAAGTGTTAAGTAATAGTATTAGAGAATGAGGTTGCTGTTAATTTCTTTTTTTCACTAAAGCCCAGGTGAATGTTTATTTTCAGAATTTATGTAATTCAATTCTGGGCTTTATTAGGTTAGTGTGTATTCAAACCTCTGTGCATGCCAACCCAAGCATTCCTTCTCATTCACACATCCACCTTCACAATAAACCCAAGAAAAGGATGTAGGGATAGGGGGATTACTCACTCAGATTGCTAAACTGTGGATTACTCTTCCAGTTGTGCCCAAAATGCAAATCAATGTTTGTTGAGCCCGAGTTGCCCCTCTGTGCAGTAACTCCAATGTTTTACCCATGTAGAAGTTTGAATATTAACGACTGGAATCCAAATGCTGTAAACAATTGATTGTAATGGTTGTTAACTGGAAATGGCCTCCAACACAAGACTCCTGGGTAGAGCTGTGAATAAATGAGATTGTGTATTGCTCCTAAAATCAACAGCATAGATCTATCTCAAATATTCAGTTGCATTTCAATTTAGTCACTCTAACTTGAAGTCCAGGGGAAGTGTGAATGTGTGTTGAATGACATGCTTATCATTAGGAGTAAGTGTTTGTGAAATTACCCTGGAGCAGAACAGGCACCTGTTGTACAATCGGCATGTTCTACAAGCTTTCACTTGAAAATACTTTCCTAAACCAAATTAATATGAAGTGTGTTGTTCAGAGAATGTAATTTATCCTGTTACGACAATTTTTGTGTGAAGGGAGTGTTTGTGAAAGTTGCCAGATTGAGTGTCCAGATGCTAACAGGACAGAATAACATAAAACATAGTTTATAAAGTCTTCAGAGCAGGGATGTTACTTCTGTGTCTGTTCAGGGTCATGCATATTTATGATGCTTTATTATAGATGAAGTTGGTATCAACACCAATATTTTTCCATTATAAGCCTCTGTTTTCAATCGCTTCTTATATTGCCAATTTTTAACTGCTTGGGCTGCAATTTTCCTTACATGTTCTCTGCCTCAGGAGAATTTTTTTAAAGCTTCAGAGAAAAAGCTTAGATATTCCAGAGAATAAGGTTAGAAAGAGTAGATAGTTTTGGCAATGTTAAAAAAAAAAAAGTTTCCAACTGTTTCTTTGAAGAGCTTTAGCACTTTAGACGTTGGGAGCAGGAACTGGAAATTTAGCAGGGAAATTGTTGTCAGAATCAGAAGAGCCTTTTATTATTTCCTTAGAAATCCACCCAGATTTATCCCAAGTTACAAGCATCTGAAAATCCCCATTTGCACTTGTTCAGTAGAGCTTATTCGAGTTGACTGCTAAAATCACTAAACATTCTATTCACATGGGGCATATTCGCCTACCCCAGAGTTCGACTTCTACACAGAAGCGGCAGCATCAGCCAGCCCTTTTTGCTTATGGGAAGGAGTGCTGGGCCAGGAGTCAAGAAGAGACGAATTCTAGGGCTTGTTTATACTTAAAATGCTACAGCAGCAGCACTTTGGTATAGACACTACCTATGCCGACGGGAGGGATTCTTTTGTCGGCAGAGGTAATCCACCTCTCGGAGAGGAGGTAGCTAGGTGGATGAAAGAATTCTTCCATCCACCTAGTGCTGTCTATACGGTGACGTAGGTTGACTTAGCTACGCCATCCAGGGGTGTGGATTTTTCACACCCCAAGCAATGTTGTTATGCTGCCCTAATTTTCTAGTGTAGACTAGGCCGTACTCTCAGATCTTCTACTTATTGGTGTTCATAATTCCGTGTACTTTCATCTCTTCGTATTGAGCAAAGTCTCAGATCCCTATCTTGAAAGTCAGGTAGTTCTAATTCCTCGCATTTTACAGATGGTGTAACTGAGATGCCTCACAAGGTCACTTTGAACAGAGCTTATAATAGAATATGATCTCCACTATAGCTACCCAAGCCTTATCTACTCATCCACACATGGCTTTTCAAAACAGCTGGCCTGAATTTATATGCTTAGGTGTGCTGTTGTTAACTGCTAGACCTATTCACTAGAGCCAGGAGTGGATCCCAGTATTTGATTTCCAGCGTTCTACTGCTATCTAGCAAAATATGTCATGTTCCCCTCAAGTGACTGGTCCATACAGAGGTTAACGCCCTACTGCTGCTTCAGGCACTCCTTTAGCTGAAGTGGAAGGGTTTTTTTTACTGTAATTTATAGGCCCTGGGTTCCAACTCTGCTAATGAAAGACCCAGAAAGGGGTTCAGTATGGTTCCATATAAGGGAATTTCCTCAGTTTTCTGTTTTTTTTTTAAATGTTTTTTTTTTTTTTAAACCTTAAAATAACCAAAAACAAATCTGTGTTTAAAGGAATGTTGTAGCTGCAAAGTCAAGCAGAAACACCAGAATTAAGGTTGCCTCTGAAACCTCAATTTGACCAGTTTGTGCATATGCATTATGATAGTCTTGAATTACATGATCATTACTTGTTCCAATGGGATGCCTGCCTCATTCAGTGCACGATCTGGACAGTGAATGAGGCAGAGGGTTGTAAGAAAAGAACAGTGTTCTTCTGTGGTAAAGGCAACGTGACTTCTGATTCTACCACGTACTTTCTATGTGATGTTGCACAAGACTGTCGTGCATTGGTACAAGTTAAGATTGCATAGACCAGTGCTTCTCAAAACTGGTCCGCCGCTTGTTCAGGGAAAGCCCCTGGCGGTCCGGGCTGGTTTGTTTACCTGCCGCCTCCGCAGGTCCGGCCGATCGCAGCTCCCAGTGGCCGCGGTTCTTCGCTCCAGGCCAATGGGGGCTGCGGGAAGCGGCCTGGGCTGAGGGATGTGCTGGCCGCCCTTCCCGCAGCCCTCATTGGCCTGGAGCGGCGAACCATGGCCAGTGGGAGCCGCGATCGGCCGGACCTGCGGACACGGCAGGTAAACAAACCAGCCCGGACCGCCAGGGGCTTTCCCTGAACAAGCGGCGGCCCGACTTTGAGAAGCACTGACATAGACAACCATAGTACTCGCATTGCCTAACTTTAGAGTGCTTGACTTTGCAACCTTAATTTTCTTAAAACATAGGGCTTTCTTTGTATGTATTAAGCAACATGGCACAGGTAGTGTCAGTGCAGACTTTCCCACACTGCACTGTTGATGTCCCTCGTTCCTGTCCAGGAGCAGTTACTCTTGCGGGGGGGAAGAGAAGTTCCAGTCTCCTTCGCCATTCAAAATTTTGCCTGTCTTATACTGCCAACAGGGTGCCAGTCATGATGGTGGTTACTGTGGAATGTGTATGCAAATACCAATTAACCAGGAAAGCTTTGCCACAACTAGATACTATTTAAATAATAAATGCTAGTTATTGATTTTTCTAGGTTTTTTTTTTATCATCCTAGAAACCTTTAATGAAGCAAAATTCTCCAATGTTACATCATGAGGGTTCATATTCTTCAACTTTGAGTATGCCTTTTCAGTTCTCTCTGCTGGCTTTTTATCTTCTGTTCCCGACTCTTGGACAGGTAGCCATTTCAGAGGATTGCGGCGGTACATAGGCCATGGAGGGAATGTTAGCAGGCACGATAAAGCAAACCCAGCCATAACTATATAGACAGCCCAACCGAACTGTTCAGCGACGTAGCCATAGATAAAACCAATTACCGCAGAAACAAGAATGATCCCTCGAAAAATCTGTTCTGCTAGTTTTTGACTCTTGTAGTCCATCTGGGTGGGGATGGAGCCGAATATGTCCAGCATGGTACTAGCGACGGAATTCGCCTCGCCGGCTGCTTTTCCGCTCTCGCTGCTCTCCTTGGAATTGCCTGCCCCGCCCTGAGAAGCGCAGGCCTCGGAGGCGCTCCCAGCCTCCAAAAGGGAAACTTCAGGAGTGTCCTGAGAGTCAAAGCCGGACTTGGCCTGGGAGGAGGAGGGAGGCGAGGTCTCACGGGCGGCAGCCTCCCTGCCGGACCAGCTAGCCCGCATCGACACTCCACCAGTGGCGGCGGAGGAGCGGGTCCGAGTCCCAAAGGTAGGCGCTGAGCTGGCCGGGTAGAAAATTATTTGCAAGCTTCTCTCCAGCACTCCTATTCTACCAGGACCTCAGACAACACAAGACTATGGTCAGACAGCTAATTCCAGTAGTGGATTCAGAAATGTCAAACATATCAAATGACTTTTGTCAATTACATTTCACAGTTCTTTCATGGCAGTCAGTGTCTCTATGTTTCAAGCTTTCAGACTGCTGTCTTGAGCTTAATGGGTGCAATTGGAGATGTAGTTTGAATTAATTACGCTTTAAGACAAAATGTAAAAAAAAAAATTCTCTAGATGTAAAGCTGTTGCTTAAAAATGTTTATATTAGAAATTCCTTCCTTGACAGGTTCAAATAAACACTTACTGTAGGTGAAAGGTAATGCGAGAGGGATGTCAGTGTGGTGTCTGGTAGTTCATCTTTGAGTATAAAGTGAAGGCAAGGGAAACCCAGTATGTTGGTTATAATTCCCAGGCTTGCAAAATGCCTGCAAACGTATCTGTTAATGTTCTACACTTCCAGATAAGGGTGTCAATGTACTTTACACCAGAGGTGGGGAACCTTTTTTGTGTCAGGGGCCATTGACCCACCGAAAAAATAAATGGCGGGCCATACACATTCAACTTACCTGCCCGGGGGTGGGGAAGAGGGAGCGGGAGGGGGCGCAGAGGTTTGGGGCTTCCAGCGAGCCTGTTCTCGCGGCTCCAACCCCGCGGGTGGGAAGCCCTGAGCCTCTGCGTGCGCACACCCACACCCGCGCACACCCACACACCATGGGGCTGGAGCCACGAGCACTGGCTCGCCCCACCGCATGGGGGAAGCCCCAAGCCTCCACACCCCCCGCGGGCTGCAGGTTGCCCACCCCTGCTTTACACACACAGCCTCACAACTTCCATGTGAGATAGGTTATTGTTTTTGCAGATGGGGACACTGAGGCAGATAGAAGTTAAGTGACTTGCCAAAAGTTTCAATGAGTTAGTGGAAGAGCTGGGAGTAGAACCAATATTCTTACTCTGTCATGGGTTCTCACTACAGGAGTTCACTCCCACCAAGAACTATACTTTTGCTGATGTTGTCTCACCCTACAAGGTTTAGAATCTTTCCTTTCTTTCGCCTTTAAAAATACTGTATCAGTTGAATGACTGTGCTTTCCTCATTCACTTAAACTTAGTTTCTGGCACACTAGTTATTCTAATCGCGTTTGCCAAGAGCGAGTTACATAACAGGTATTGGTACAAGCAGTAAAAACAACGGCTAAAAGCAGAGAGGGATGCTCAGTTCTAAATTCCAAAATTACTTCATCACAAATATACAGATCCCTGCTGTGGTGGCCCGGAGGCTGCACAGAGCTTGTTACTGCACTGGCCCCACGACACCCCCAAAAATTAGATGCCAAGGCCATATTGCTGTGTTGTGCTGTACGGAGTGACCTCCATTAATGATTATGTCCTCCTAGTCTATTGGACCCTGACTTTACTCATTTTTCAAGATTTGGCTGGCAAGATTCAGCTCACCGTGGGTGAGTCTGAGCTCAGGTGATCGGCGCTCACGGCAGGTCCACGCTGGGAACTTACGTCAGCATAGCTGCGTCCCTCGGGTGTGAAAAATCCACACCCCTGAGAGACGTGCTGCCCTAACCCCAGGTGTTAACAGTGCTGGGTCGACAGAAGAATTCTTCCATCAACCTAGCTACTGCCTCTCGGGGCGGTGGATTAACTTCGCTGACCTTGGTAGCATCTACACTGAAGCGCTACAGTGACTCAGCTGCTGCACTGCAGCTGTGCTGTTGTAGCGGTTTGTGTGGGCATTCCCTTAGACTTAGCCTAGCCCAGGTGGAGCATCCTCTCTGCAAAGCGTACCCATGCCAGACCCGTTTGGTTGCATCCACACTAGTAGTGTGCTCATGGATGAGAGGCTCTAGGAAAGAAGGAAAGATGTGGAGGGGTTGGCTGTCTTTTAGTGTTTTTCAGTTGACCTTAAGTGCAGTTGCTGTCCTGATACAGAAACATATCTGGTTTTGGGAACAGAATAGGGTTAGTCTGGGTGCTCTGGTGAGATAGAGGTCATCCCAGTGCACTAAGAACTGCTGACTTAGCTTGTGTCCAGTGTGGTGTTGGCTGCCCAGATGTATTGTTCTCAGCGCTTCAAGCCAGTGTGAACATTTATCTTGTTTGCATGTCCGATATCTTTTATAATGTGCCCGTGTTGTGCAAGCAAGCAAGTTTCCAAGAGATGCTGTGGATTAGATTGCCTATATCAATTAATTCATGCAATACTTCTGAATATTATCGGTGAAAATATAAGAAGCCATATATGAAATGTTCTCCAGCCTCTTCCATCTTTTAAAGTGATAAATGGAATTAGCCATTGGGCCCCTGTTGAAATTGTGGAATAAAACAAAATAACTTGAACATCACTAGGAAACAGCGACTCTTCAAACATATTACTGTATATATAGACATTGTTCTAGTCTCCTGAATGTCATAACCTGTTCGAAGAACAGTTTGCTCTACACATGTGAAGCCCTTGGTGCTTTACTCTTGCCTTTCCAAAACAGTCCTTTTGTGTAGCACTACACGCTAATGTTTACACACAGTTTTTTGTTTTCATTTGGGGATGTTCAGAAGGGACTTCAATACCGTAGTAAAATCTGGAAGATGTGGACAAACAGCTGAGAGAAAGCTCAAAGCAATCATCTGGAATGAAAGCTGGTTTACTTGGCAAGTGCCAAGAATCAGTTTGTTTTTACTTCGATGAAACTAGATTATGGTATTAAAAACCCTAAGACGTGAACATTCTTGCATAGATAAAGCATGTTGTGAAATTAAACTTGAACTAACTGCTAATTATACGCACAGATTTACTGCACATTTTCCTAGAACTTAATTTTGTTTGTTTGATATTACAACAGCAAATAGGTCAGTCTTGTATTTTCTTCAGTCTTAATTCATTGACTCCTTCAATTTTTCCTTCCTGCAGTAGAAGTGCCCCACCATTAAGTGGGATGAACATGGGTTTTCTCCTAGTGGTAATATATTCAAAATTGATAAACCACCTGAACGTAAATGTTCATCTTCCAGATTGAGACCTGCTGCCACTTTCTAACTCTTTAGTTAATGCTTGTGCAAGTCTCTAATCAAAACTTTACATGTAATTCATTTACACAAGAGATGGTAGCTATACTGAAGTTCAGCCTTTGGTTTTTGTTGAAGTCCTGTTTTCACCCAGGTGTTGCTGTTCAGTTGGCTGAGCCAAAAGGAGGCCCACTGGCTTGCTGAAGGTCAGATGATACTGGATTTGAATCTAGGGCTTTTCTGGTTCCTAGCACTTTTCTCTAATCCCCTAGAACTCACTGCTGCTACCTCTTGTCCTTTATCTTTTTAAACGCACCATGTGGATTAAAATGTAGTAATCTTTTTCTGTTGCATTTTTCTTTAGCAAAAGCAGCTTATTGGAAAAACAAGCTGGATTTTTTTCAGTTGAGTATTTAGAGTTTTACTTCAGTGCTATATCCAGACTTTGGTGATTATTAAATGGGTTTAGCAAAGAAGGGTTTGTGAGTATTTTCTTTCATCATTTTAGCCTCTCTTCCCTGACAGGGTAGATGATGAGATATAAAACAGCTGGGGCCCAGTCAAGCCCCAGATTATCTCGGCAACAGTTTTCTTTTTAAACTGTTCTTGTGCATTCTGGCTATCGGCCAAAGCGAACACCACTCTGTCTTCTGGGCAGAGCTCTTCTGCAAGCAGCCGTAGAGGAGCCCACCCTGCATGCAGACAAAAGAGACTCCTGGTATGGCTACTTGAGACTTTTATTACCCAGAGTTCATTGATGTTTGTATCCTGGAACAAACATTTGCGAAATATCCACATTAGCCTTTACCAACATGTTAACTGCTTTGAGTTAATTGGAAATCATTAAGGCAAGGTGAAAAAGCCTAATGTAGACAAACGCTGCAGTAGGTGGAGGTCAGGTCTGGTCTGCACACAGTTTTTGTACTAGTATAACTGTTCAGTTAAGAGGATGATTCTTTTACTGATCTAGTTATACCTAGTACAATCCCTAGTTATGCTGGGATAAAGGGGCCTATTCCCCTTCCCATATGGGAATAATTTATACCGATAACTGAGCCCATGCTGTGGGAGAAGCAGGTGTTACCGATTCCATACTGCAATGTAGTTACTGTAGTGCAACTTCTGTGTGTAGCCAAGCCCTCTGTGGAGTTAATCAACTTCTCTTGAGGCCAGTTGCCATAAGAGTAGGTGGAATCGGAGACACTGCTGTTGGAGAAGAGGATGTTGCTGATTCCATGGTGGCTAGAGATGGGAGAACTACTCCTTGGAATAGGAAGTTGCGGAAGTAGATGTAAAGGCCAGGCAACCCATAAGGAGTCTAAGCAGCAGCTGCAGAGGGTACTTTTTTCTGGATTGGGCTTTTGGAAACTATTTTGAGATGGGTGTAAAATAATAAAATAACCAAGCTTATGAGAGGCATCTTTTTAATACAAGTGCAGGACAAGTTGTAATTCTAGATGAATGCTTCTGTTTTTTGACATCCATAGCTTAAACATCTCGCTCTTTCTGGGACAGATTTGTGTTCCCATAACTTGTATTCATTATGCAGAAAGGCTTTCTTGCTAGTCTTTTTATATGTTTGCTCTTTACTAACTGACCTGAGTTCTCCAGTCTCTTTTTTTCCCAGGGCACTAAATCCTTATAATCTCCGTTTGCTCTCTCCCTGA